AAGATTATGCTATGTCCTATATAGCATTTTACTGTGCACATAGCAGGAACATGACAGCAAATATGCACTTCAGAGTTATCAAGTAGCTACTGCATGAAGAGGGTGACACTGGGTGCCAAATACTAAGCACAGCAACAAGTCTTGGGGCCATCTGATCTCTCCATATGAAACATTTTGTTAAACCCTTTGATAGCCTCGTATGTCTAACGGGAAATGCATAATTTCTCATGCCTCCATAGAAATATGCATTGAGTATTCCAACTATAAAATACAGGTGTAAGACTTTGGCTGCTGAAGCAGAAGAAATACCAGGAATACTCCAATGCTGACAGTATCCTTGGATCCTGTCCTTGGAGCAGAATGAAGGAACTTTCGCTAGGTTATATGCATTTCTAGGGCTCTTGCAATGCTGTTTTCTGTGTTGAAATCATGCAGCTCACAGTCTGCACCAGGTAAATTTTAGCATAGATCTGTTGGTTCAGGTGAGCCCTGTGCCTTATTCTAGCTAAGGGTTTTGTTCACTCTAAGGTTTGTCCAGCATGAGAGGCAAATCTCCCAGCAAGATCACCACAGGAATCCAGTTAGTACTTAGACCAATAGACATCCTTCTGGAGAACTGAATAGTGATAAAATTTTTAAATAGAAAGAACTTGCTAAAAGTTCTAGGTAGTACAGAGAACTAAGCTTCCTTTCCTTCCAAAAGCCTAAAATCACTTGATTTGTGCCATTATTTCAATCTGACCTTGCACAACAGAACAAACACACTGAGGAGCAGGTTTCTGTGCCCTGCAACAAAAGCCCTTGGTTCTCCAGAGGATGTTCCTCTCCCTTTCTCTTTTGCAGCTCCCCAAGCAAAAGCAGTTGCCTTGACAACTCTGGGGTATTCTCTGGCTCCACGGATGCTGGCAGGAGGACGGCCAATTTCCTTCCATAAAATACAAATCTACAAAGGAATAAACAATTAAAAGTGTTCTGATCCCTTCAGTAGTGCCAAAAACAGAAAGAAAATGAAGAAACTTGCTACAGACACAGAATTTTATAAGCCAGAAGCAGCAAGATTCAAGCACTTACATGAGAATTCACAAACAGAGGTAGGGAACAGAAGAAATTGCAATTGCTTGAGATTTCAGCAAAGAGCTGGGAATGGCTGTAGCTAAGGTCAAGCTAAGGCTCCTCTTCCATAACCCTTCTGTAACTGGAAGGCCTCTGGCCTTCCATGGCACTGCCCTTGCTTTACCATTACACTCTTTATACAGAAGGTCATGTAAACAAAATTAAAACATCACTAAAAACAATTTTAAAAGGTTTGCAGTTTTCACTGCCTTCGTGTATAAATTTTCATAATATTAAGTAGGAATAACATCTTTAATTTCTAATTTTGTGCTGCATTTTTATTTTTTTTACTTCAACTGTGCTTCAAATAAATGTATTTTTGAAGCAAAAAAGAAGACACAAGAAAACTGATGGTCAGGAAAGAGATCACAGTTGCTGCACTCCACTAGAAAGGATATCAGACAGAGGTGCTGTTTGTATGTAACACAAAAGAAACAGGGTGCCTTGAAGCTCTGTTTTTCTGTGTCCTGTAACTGAGCTCAGGGGTACGTACTCAGCCATGGAATACTCAGCTCTGTAACCATTCTGTCACATCTCACTGCATCCATGAGGAACATCACATCCATTGAAGGCAACAGCTCATGTATAGAAAGACAGATATGCTGTTGTAATCTTTAAATTCCTCCTTATCTTAAGCACTTTTGGCTTTTCTCATTTATCAAATCTTCTCCTTCAAGGGTTAGCCAAAGCACAGACTGTGTGTACTGCCAGCAGATACCTAAAGATAACAGGTTATGTGCATCCTTTACCAGAAAAAAATTAATTTGGAAAGTATCCATTAGTAATTAGAGCTGGATTTTCAGAACCAATAGAAACTAAAAGTACAGGAGAATCTACTCACAACTTCATGAGGCCAATAAAATCTGTAATAAAAAGCAATGGACTCTGTATTCCAAAAGGCTGCAGCATCTCAATAGACACATCTGACAAAAGCACCTAAGACCACTGAAGCTCTAGCATGCATTATTGTATTTTATTCAAGGAAAGCATAGACAAAAGCTACTGGAGCAACCTTTCTGCTAGCAGTTAAATTTGACATGCAACCAGGTATGACCAGGCTTCATGATACACCAACCTGCTAGTCAAACTAATAGCACTTCTATTTTAAGCTAAATGGAAGGGGATTAGGGTAAGAAAACTCCCTCTATTGACCACTGACACTGTTTATTACATAAAAGGCAATTGCTTGGAGACAATTCCATCTCTTTTTGCTGCAGAAAATGTCTTGGTTTGCTGTTAACCCTTCTCCCATTACAGTGCAGCCACATTCATGCCACTGCTCACAGAAGCATAGAGAGCCTTCTGCATGATTGAGGGCAAGAACTTTGTAATGCACTACCTTTATCTGTCATATTTTGGTCTACAGCAGTAAATTTTGTATGCCTCTACTGACTACTCCCTGGAAATATGGTAAAGATGCAGCCTTTTATACAAAGATAAGGAACACAGAAATGATATCCAGAGAAAAATGGTAATAGAAAAGAACAGGCTCAAACAACAATGAACAGCTCACAGCCAAATCCAAAAGCATTAGAAGATTTCAGGCTGTGTTGGTAGAGTACAAATCCATCTTGGATCAAATTATTCACCCATTTACTGTGGTCCCTCGCTTGGCCTGGCAATTAGTTCAACTGTGGAATGCTACTTATGAGTACATTCACAATCCCTACATATTCTCTACAGCACAAATGGGCTTTGGGAAGGAAGAGCTGGATACAGGCTACCTATTGTAAACAAAACAGCCATTACTTCCCCAGAGGTGCTAAAGCTGTGCTTTGAAATAAAACACAAATTAAAATTTTCTAATTTCCTACTTGCTATTCTGGGCAATACAAGGGAATTTACTTAACCTCTTCACGCCTCTGTCCTGTCATCTCTAAAACAAGGATCTCACTGCTGCCTTCACAGGATTCACTGCTATTTTTTGGCTCTGACAGAGCCGTGAATTTTTCTGATCTATGTACATACATGTGGAGCTTGGTAATTCTGTGCATTCCTGTAAGACAATGATCCCTTGTTAGGCCATGGACAAAGCTCATCTGTCAAGTAGAAAGTTTTGTTAGCGAAATTCATTCAGCAAAACAACATCAACAAATAAGGAAAACCCAAATCTGATCTTTAACACATTCTTGAGGAATTCACCTGCACAGACAGAAGGCAGAAATTAATGTCAGTGGATGGGCCTAATCTACAGAAAGATATTTTTTCATTCTCTTTAAGAAACAAAGTGAAGGAAAATGTTATTTTTAGAATTATAATTTGAAATGCCTGTTGGAAAAATTATGAAAAGCAAAAGTATATTTTACCCTTTTTTTTTTGTACCACTTCTGATTTATCATTGCATGACACAATTTTTACAACAACTTACAGTAAAATACTGAAATTGGTTTAATCCCTTAGGGATGTAAGCTACTTTGTACATGCGTAAATAAACTGCTTTATACTAAGCAGTAAGTCTCAGTCTCTTCCCCAAAACTGTTTAAAGTAATTTTGGATATAATTAGCAACCCCTGAGAATGCAATTAGTCTATGACTGGCATTTTGCAGTAATGATTTCTTTCCTATCAAATGGGTTTTATGAAAGGTCATTTGGGATAATAATTTCTATGATTTTACCTCTCTTTCCCCTCAAAGTTAAAACTTGAGTTCACTTGTGGTGTCTTAAGGGAAATGAACATTTTCTTGGAGTGTTTTTGAAAGGTATTATAACCTTGACCAACATGAATAGCTTTCAGAGGAAAAACTGCAGTTTTATTTCTCAGAGTAAGTCCTTGGCTTTACTCCCAAATTCCTCAGAAAGCTGCTACTTATAGCATCAAACAAAAGGGTGGTTTTTAACAAGTTTTGTGCTCGAGTCTGTAGAATTTGTTCACCTAATGCACAATGTTGCATTTTCCTTAGCATTTGTCTGCTTTCACTGAGTGTAAGCACGCCCTTAGTGACCCTTCAGCTGACTCGTCAGTGATAACAATAATACATTTTTATTTTTCGACCACTCAAATCTAAAGGCAAGTTAGCTCTGCACATGTATGCATGCACACACAAATGTAAGTAATATGTGAACATTTCCAAAGGACAACAAGTCCTTTTGGAATAGTAATGAATAGAGAAATCATCTTGTGCCCTGCATGAGATAGGTGCATTTCAAAATTTTCCTGTATAGCTTCCATGAAAATTGGCCCCTAAGCAAGGGTGTGAGTCATTGATGAATACAGCTCTGAGGCTTCATGCTGTGCAGCAAGAGCTGTAAAAGGCATTAGAGGAACAGAGGGGAGGAGGAGGAGAGAGAGAGGGGGTTAGGAGGTTATTAAATAAAACCTGGTAATGGTTTTACATGAACGTTTTCTGAGAAGTGTTTGGAGAAGGCACACCCCGCCCCGCCGGGCAGCGCCTTTGCCGGGCGGGGCACGGAGGGGCTGCTCTGCCCCTCCACAAATCACTCCTGCCTTACCAAAGGCATTGCTCTCACAGCTGCCCTCCCAGTGCTTGCTGAAACTCGGGACCTACAAGTAAAATAAATTACCCTATGGCACATTGCCTTACAGTAACTTTTCAAATGGATATTGCAGCAAAAGGATGGGGCTTTCCATCTCCAGCACACAAAAGCCACCACACTATACCAGGAATATTACAGCCTTTGCCAGCACAGTTATGAGAAAAGTGTAGAACAGGATAAAAAGAACAAATTTAAGCTTCCTCAAACTTTAAAAGTATTTGATTTTGGCACATATTTGCCTCTATTTTTTGGATTTTTTTCTCCCCAAGACCAATGTATTAAATTGCCATTAGTTTATGTCACTCACTGGTTAGCAATAAACAATACTGATAACACATCAGACCTGGATTACAAGCAATTCTCCTTTTTTATCCAATTGTGCTGCTTTTACCCAAGTCAGGAGGTCCTGATTTCAATAAAGACTTTGGGCTTTTAGTCAATACTTCAGTCATTATCATGCCAGATTCTTCATCCTTCAGACTTCCTGCATGTCCTGATCTCACACTCACTTGTGTGGTCCCCTCAATCTCCCTTCCTATTTTCGCTTCTTTCATTGTGCCAGCAGCCTTAGTGCACCCATCTGAAAGAGAAGATACAGTGGGGCCATTACACTCCATTATCAAACACCCTGCCACTTGCAGATTCATGTGGGAAATTGATTATCAACAATGATTAACTGACACCAACTGGCTACACTGGGTTAGTTATAAATAAGCCAATAATCCCTTAAATGAGTCTCTTTTCAGATGATGGCTTAGATGTACAGTCAGGAAAAAATATTTCCCCATATTTTATATAGTAAAAATATCATGTATTAGAAAGAAATCCATAATTGAAATCTTTATTTTCACACAGATAAGTGTTTAATGAGATTAAACAAACAAAATGTTTGTTTAAAAATGATGTTTTTAACAAGTACAAGAGGAGCTTTGAGTTTTTTGAAGGCCAGAAACACTGGTTTTACATTTAAGTCTTTTGAACAAATGGGCACAGTGGTCTACATAAGTGAAAATTCAACCCAAAAGGAATGTTAACAGGAAAATAGCTTGTCATGCTACAAGTACTCCTGTTCCTCTAATACCTTTAAAAATAAGATCTATAATTTAAAAAATAAAACAAAACAACCTTCTGTGTATGTTTATACATACGTACATGTATATGTATATGTATATGTATACGTATACGTATATGTATATGTATATAAAGACAGGAATTTTATATTCCCTTTTAACTGAAGAGTCAATAACTGACTGGTGCTATTTTAAAAAGCCACCAACAAAACCACCCTGAATCCACAGACACGCAGCACCATCTGGTGGATTAGCACGTCTGGCAAACAGTCCTGCATTTACTGAACACATTCCACAGGCAGGAGAAGGGAGAAACCATACGAACAAAAGCATATCATGGAGATTTGTTTAGTCAGCCTCAGGCAAGAGAAAGTGAGGAGAGTGGAATTTTCATGAAATTCTGAAACAATACTCTTTACTCATATAACACTTTATACTTTTCAGACACTATGTATAAATCTGCACTCAAAAATATGTGAACAAAAGTTTGGTATGTAATTTAACTAACTGCACCAAGATTTATTTAATTTGATTTCTTTAATGCACGCATTAAGGCACATGCTTATAAATTACCATTTTTTCACTGGAAGCCTTGTTTAGTGAACAGGACTGATTGCTCACCTAATAATAGTTTTCCAGTAATTTGCTTTCTTCTCAGGCACTATATGGTCTCATGTTCCTCCATACACAAGCACAGCTTGGATAATACAAGATTATCAGGTGCTCATCACTGCAAAGCCACAATGAATTACAGGTGTCAGTTTAAAACCCCTGCAAGGCAATCTGCATTTATTCTTCACATAAAATGAGTAAAAGGAGCTTCTCATTTTGGGTAGGAAAGGAAGGGCCCCCTAATATGTACACAGGAATGTGCCATTGTAGTCTCTGCTGTCTCTCTAGCAGCTTGTAGTGTCTTTGGAATTCCACCCTTCCATTGAGGTCACTTCACTGCATTCTGCAATAGGTGACTCTTGGCACACAATGCTTGAGGGGTTCAAAAGGCTCAGACCTCCTCAGGTCACACACTCACCCAACACTGTCCAAGCAGCTGAGGCTCAGCTGAGGCTCCCTCCTTGTCATCACACCCCTGCATCACCTCTGTACTGATCCTTTTGTGCTAATCCCCATTTCTGACACTGTGCTATGAGCTGCTGGTCCTAAGATTTCATTTTGAAAAGACATCTGGCTACACATGCCCAGCTTCTAGAACTGTCCTCCATGTATGCCAGAATCAGGAATATATATGTATCTTTAGTCTGAATTTTCTGCCTACAGAAGTTTCCCTTCTTCTTAATGGCCATATATCTCAGCTATCTTTTTGCATCATCTGTATCTTTGTCTTGCCCACATTGGTAATAAGGTCTAATCATCCCAGGTTCCTTTTGAAGACACTAACTGTACTCAGCACATCATTCTCACAATCAGACACATCATCACTGAGCTGCAGACTGGGAAAGTGTACAGCAAGATCAAAACACAGGACAGTGGCCATCACAACTTCATATACGCCAGAGGGCACACAAGAAGGTGACAGGAGGCTGCTTGCTGCCAATTAGTGTCTCAAGACACTACACATTCTTTAATTCTTCAAAAATATTATTTAGCACTTCTTACAAGCATCCACTGCCAACTGTGCCAGGTAAGACAAGAGGCAAAAAAGATCTTCCTCATGACATCTATATTTTTTCACAGGTAGCTTGAGGCACTGAACCCTGTACCATTCCTTTTTTTTTAAGAAACTGTTGCCCCCCATACATTGTTGTTCCTTTTTCTTTCAATACTTTAAGAATAATGCAGGACTGTTCTCAAGGGATGATCAGTGAAATGACCAGCAATAATCTGCACAACACTTCAAGTCATGCCTTTGGTGCGTCCCCATCAGGCCTGACTTTCACTGTCCTTCAGCAAACTTTTCTTCTCTAGAAATATCCCATAATACATTTACAAATATGTATCATGACCAATGTCTTCTATGGTCTGTGTTGGTAGTTTGCCATGGGCCCATGTTTGTAAGAAATCTTACTGCAAACTCCTTGCTCCTCCAAACCACCTCCCAAATACTTGTCAGTGCTTATCGCTGTTTGGCTCAGGCACCTTTGAATCATGATTTCACTAATTTCTTTAATGTCTTTTCAGATGCTTTAGACAGACAATTGTCACCAAAAGAGGATTTCTCTATCAAGGCTACCCCTCTTTTTTTTAGGGACTTTTTACAAGAGCATGTAGTGACAGGACAAGGAGGAATGGATCCAACTAAAAGAGAGTAGGTTTAGATTAGATATTAGGAGGATGCTCTTTTCTGTGAGGGTGGTGAGACACTGGCACATGTTCTCCAGTGGATGCCCCATCCCTACAAGGGTTCAAGGCCAGGTTCAATGTGGTTTGGAGCAACCTGGTCTAGTGGAAGGTGTTCCTGCCCATGGCAGGGGCTGGAACCAGATGATCTTTAATGTCCCTTCCAACCCAAACCATTCTAGGACTCAATGATTCCTGCCAAGAGCGTTGTGTCTGTCTTGGTCTGCGAATGGGTGGAACTCAGTGGCACAGGGTCATTTGCAACCCAAAAGTACAGATGGTTTCAAAAAGTGATGGGCAAGTTCCCAGGGACGTTGTATTAGTGTTTATGGTCACCTGAATGCAGCGTGGTTCAGGAAACCCACCTGTTAGCTGTGGAGATAATGCCAAAGGCCTGTTCAGAAACACGAAATGCACAGACACCTGTCAGTCAGCGTCACCAGTGGCAGGTGGTGTCAGGACCTATTTGGAGTCCCCAGCCGAGCT